TTTTTTTTTTTTTTTTTTTTTTTTGCCTGTTTGTCCACTAGCATGGAGAGCCCAAAGTAACCATGTGAGACTCATAGGATCCAATTCACTAGAGCCTTTACTGGGTCCTCTGGTGAAAACATCCTTCTGCTCCCAAGGAATCCAAACTTCTACTCTAGGTTGTAAGGAAAGAGAAATATAAAACCTTTAAATGAGCCACTGATTATGAAGATAATATAGTCAATCCTACTTCAAACCATTGGTTCCCAGACCTGTGTATTGGGACATATATGAACCATGGTTAAAGCATGTATACTGAATCCTGGAGGAAACTACCCAACCCTGCAGGTTACTGCCTTATATCTGGAGCCTTAAGTGAAACTATATTGGTTACTTCTGGTGTTGAGATTTATGGGAAGTCATGAAGATTCTATGGTTTTGTGCCTATTGCCCACCTCCTTTATCAAAGAAGTGGTCCTTTGGGACAAGGTTATGGGAGACACCATGACACAGAATCAAGCATTTTCTAGCATGACTGGAATGGAGCACACATTGCAGGGAGGAAAGGCAAACCCATAAGCTGTTTAGATGTCAGTTCCAATGAGGATTAATAATTGCTGTGCTCATGGGATTTTATGACTGTACAGGTCTGATAATGCCTAGATCGTAAATTAACAGTTGTTTTTTCAGTGCCTGGGTATCCCATAAGCAGATGCTCAGTCTCTATTGGGTCAGTAGTACATCATGTGCCCAAGTAGTTCTCTATTGTAGAAGGTGTGGTCTTATTCTAGGGTCTCACAGGGCTGTGCTGGAACCTTCTATTGGGGTTCACCAAGGACTCCATATGTGCCATGCACATAGCCTGAGAGGCACTGCAATTTGTACTAAAACTAAGTTATGATCTTTCTTTTGTGAAATCCACTTGAAAATAGTGTCCCAGATAAATGACTTGGAATAATACACCAAGTACAATATGTATACTTCCAAAAGAAACCCACTAAATCTTATATTGCTATATTAGTGCTAAGGATTGGGGATTTTTTAAAAAGTGTTCCTTACTGTAGAAGGAATATCTAGATACAAACCTTTGGCTCATTGATTCTCTAAATACTTCACCAATCTGACACACCTCTGGTTGATCATGGAGTTTATCACCCACATCCTGAAACATGCAAAAGCCTGAGTAGGGCATCTGACGTACTGGCCACTTACTGGTAACTGAAGTTATCTCACATAGTACAGTGGAACAGCATGGTGTTGTTTAGAATGTTAAGATGATCAAGGTCTTTAGACTATATTATGACATAGAAGTTTTAACATCTTTTGGGGCAATAGAGTAAATTATAATCACTGTGTGCCCTGGAGAAATGTGTACCAAGTTCTGCAGGCAGTCCATATCGATGAGGCAAAAGGTATGTAGCAAGAATCCAAAGGGAAGTACTATCAGGTTCTCTAAGAACCTAAGTAGACTTCTTGAAATTAATGGCTATGGCAATAGCTGGGAGAAGGCAAAGGGGAGGGGATCTGAAGTGGGCCCAAGATATTTGATGCATAGATCAAAGACTCCAAAACCCAAAGAAATTTGGTGTGTTTGTGGACTGGAAGAAAACATTAAACCCTGGTAAATATGGTACCTAGTTTGAAGTAGATACCACAGGAGCCTGCAAGTCTAAATAAGGAATTTAATATATGGTGAAAAGTGCTTACTTCTGCGTGATGTAGACCAGGAAATGCATCATTTTTATTAACTAATGCCCTGCTAAAAATCCATCTAGTGATTTGTATTTAATTCAGGATTACATTATTGCCTTTACAGAAATAATTTTTTGGTGGGTGAAAAATTACGGGTCTGCTACTCTCTCCTACTACCAATTAAGAAAAATGAGAAACCTGTAACTTGAGAGAAATCCCTAGAAATTTAAGGGTTTGATTTTATGTCAAGGTGACATAAATTTAAATTAAAGATCCTGTTATATTTTTTGTTCTACTGACTTCCACTTCAGTATTTTTTTTTTTTCAGGAGTAGCAGACACGAGATAAATATCTTTCAACTAAATCACAGGAGGATCCAAATCAACTGTTTGATGTCTTGTGTCAATCTCAAACATACACATTAGTGTTCATAAAAATAAAAAGCCAAAGCCAAATGTGGTGGCATACACCTGTAATCCCTACATTCTTGGCACCTACGGCGGGATTACAAATTCATCTTGGGCAATTTAGCAGGACCCTCTCAAAATATTTTTTAAGACCTGAGGATGTAGCTCTGTGTGAAGGCCCTGGGTTCAACCCCCAAAATAAAATAAAATAAAATAAATAAAGCCAGAAAGAAAAATGAAGTACATAAATAAGAATACAAATTTCACAAAGGAAGATGGGACAGAAGTCTTAAAGTCCTATTATTTGTATTAGGGTACAAGAATTTACAGACGTGAACATAGAGAACAGTGGCCCCAAAATAAAACAAATCATTACGATGTATCAGATACAGACAGGACATGATGATAAAGATGATCTTTAATACTAGAAAATAAATAATCTGACAAATCCAATATAGCTGCCAATGCAAGAATTTTCTCTATAAAACCCCTGAGTTATCACTAGTAACATGGGACTTTTAGACTGGAAGTTTTCACTGGTAGTAGGCTGTCCTACATTGGCTATAAAACTTGCTTTTCTTGAATTGGCAACCCTTAGTTTTGTGTGTGTGTATTTTTAAAGCACAGTAACTCATGGCTTTAGTATTTATAGTAAAGATTGAAACATGTTTACCACTCAATTTGGAAATTAATTTCTATGAATTGAGAAAATAAATTATTAATACAAGTTCTTCCATACTAAACAAATAGCTCAAGATGACTAGAAATCTGCTACATTTTTAAAATCCTGATATATGCTGAGTGCCCTGCTTATCTTAGGTTTCCAAATAATTGTGGAGAACGAGTGAACTGAAATGTCCATATTTAAAATTGCCTAGAAACAGATCTCTGACCTAAATATTAGTTCAGAAAGGAAAAAGAATACTCAAATACCCAAAATATTTCTCTAAAACTTTATTTCAAAGTTACTCACCTCACTGATGATAAGGTGTATAGTTAATATTTTGTGCCAGTATTACCAGGCTTGCCCATTGCTGGCAATGGACTTTGAGAAAACCATTTCTTGGCACCCAAATGTTAAATTACTCTTTTCAAAACATACTGAACTCCCGACGCTTGTAAAAGTATTACATGCACCATTTCCCCACCATTCTTACATTAATCTACATCAGTGGATGTTAAAATGAAGTCATTTTAACAAATTATGACTGTACAAATCAAAATACTACAGTTAATATGACAAGAGTATCTTACAAACACTACATATAAACTTGCAAACTGAAACATTACATTTCATACTTGTGAATGATTATTTGAGATAACTGAAACTTCACAGAATTTAACAGCAAATAAAGTTTTAAAACATTTAGTTCTGTACATTAGTTCCAACTATCTCTATTTTACAATCTATAAGGCTCATGTCATAGCTCAGCACCAAAAGCATCTATAAAACTTTCCAACCAATCTTCTTATTCATCCCATGTGACAGTTTTTATATTTTTTGTTTTTAAGGTTGAAAGTCTAAGAAAAGCTTTATAAATCCAACTTTCCGACCCTGAAGTAGAATACTCTTTGTGGCTAGTCAGATTATGTAAAAACTTGGGCTGTTCTTAGTTTCATTGGACACACACAAACAAGCAAAACAAAATAAACAAAAGAACTCTCTTACAGCATGAATTTGTCAGTCTAAAAATTATTTAACACTGAAGCAAAAGTATCCTAATAATGCCCTGCCCCATCCTTGCTTTTTAAATTTTTAAAAGGCAGCAAAAAAAGTTTCTGGTATCTTTTACAATAAGGTGCAAAGAAAGACTGTAACAACAAGCTTCCTCCTACATACTTCCAATTACATCAAGGTTATGAGCATGATAATCCACTATGAACTGATCAGGAGCACTTAATTCTAGACCTAAATCCACAGCTCCCAAAAGAATCATGTTTTCTATGCAGAAGCTTTCTCAATGCTAGCATCTCTCTGTTTAGAGGTCATTACAGTCACTTATCACTGCCAGCCTGGACATTAAGCAATATTCCACAGTCCAGAACCGTTATTACTGTCCTAACCGTATTCTCCTTCTTTCAGATGTATAATCTTAGAAAAACCGTATGTTTGTCTTACCATTTTCAAACAAGGTTTGTTCACCTCATACTTTAAGACCCCATTTCCTAAGCTAGAAAAGTTTTTCAAAAACCCCATGTACTTTTCATTAATCTTGGTTGTTCAAAGTATAAAATTCTTACATCTTTACAAAAGAAATTTAAATTGGAGACTAGTACCTCTGCTTTCTTCTGACAGAAGCACATGATTTGCATCATGTTTAAAAACTAGACTTCATGCATATAAATGGCCATAGAGGTATAAAGTTTAGCATTCGCTAGACCTCAAAGGGAAGCATATTAGCAAATTGAGCAAAGAGACTTCTCCAAGAACAGAAATAATTTCAAAGGTTCTTTGTCAGTCACATAAAATTCAAGCAACATGTAATCCTTTAAAAGTGTCCCCAGACATCCCAGACAATTTCTCCAAACATTCCAATTCCCCCAACCCTACCCCACTGTGAAGTCTTTACCTCACAGAATATTTTAATGTTCCCCATTACTAATGACAGCTGCTTCAGGTTCTGTTCCTGTTGCGGGAAGTCTTGGCACTTTCTTAGCAGGGCTTGGGATATGCTAAAATGAAAAGAAAATAGTCGTTGGCTCTTATGATACCCCTCCTCCTGCCCCAGGAATCATGGTACTGGTAACAGCTGCTACAGAGAAACTAATGAAGGATGACTTTGGAGAGGTTTGTGCTAAATATATATTCTGTATTGCTTTCCACAGAGGGAACTGAATATCCATTCTTCACCTTACAATATACAGTCATCCATAGAGCATGAGAATGAAGAAAACGTTATTTCTCTTATTAGATCTTATACTTGCAACTCAAACATTAGTAGCTTGACTTGCTACTTAGCTGGCATAAAAGAAGCAAGACTGGGGGCTGGGGATTTAGCTCAGTGCTTCCGGTGCCTGCTTTGTAAGTGCAAGGACCAGAGTTCGATCCCCAGTACCAGAAAAAAAAAAAAGAAAAACAATATATATAAAGTACATATTTTGGGTTGGACACAAAAAAATATTTTAACATATTGGTTTATTTTTTCATCACAATAGCTCAAAGCAGGATTGTTCCCATCTTGTGCTTTTCTTACTGTATTATACTACCATTTGGAAATGAATATGATATGAGAAAGTACTTGAGTTTCTGTAATTCCATCTT